CCGCCCAAAGGGCAGGAAGTCAGCTGGGGTCATAGGATCCCAGCAAGATAAGCATCCAGTTTCATCTTGAAGGTGTTCAATGAAGGCGCTTGAACCACCTCCGGTGGCAGGCTGTTCCAGACCTTGGGGGCTCGGACAGTAAAGAAGTTCTTCCTTATGTCCAGCCTGAAACGATCTTGAAATAGTTTGTGACCATTCGACCTCGTCATCCCTTGGGGCGCTCTGGTGAACAAACGTTCCCCCAGATGCTGGTGGTCCCCCCTGATAAACTTGTAGGTGGCCATCAGATCACCCCTGAGCCTGCGCTTTTTCAGGCGAAAGAGCCCCAGGGCTCTCAGCCTGTCATCGTAGGGTCTGCTTCCCTGACCTCTGATCATGCGCGTGGCTCTTCTCTGGACTCTCTCAAGCTTCTCCACATCCTTTTTGAATTGTGGAGCCCAAAACTGGACACAGTACTCCAGCTGCGGCCTCACTAAGGCCGAGTACAGGGGGAGAAGCTGTAACATTGCAACAGCTTGAGCAAGTAGCGAAGAAAGAGAAATTGCAACAGCCTGAGCAAGTAGCTAAGAAAGAGAAATTAGGATGAGGGTCCAATAGAAGGAGACTGGAACAAGGAGCTAACACAGGAGAAGGCAGGGTCACAGAGGAGGAGTCCATAAAGGAAGCCTGTGACTAGTTGAGTGTGGAGACTGGTAGTGGTATGAGGCAAAGAGGATGGACTCTAGGGCCCCAGCACATGTTCACTTAATTGTGATGGAATCTGTTTCTTGATCCCACCAATTGCATCTCCTACCATGCCACACGTGTATGACAGGATATGCAATTCGGAGATCTGATCCCAGTCACACCATTACTATTTGCCAGTCTAAGGGTAGCCCAGGTTATGCTTCCCCTGCACCAGCAAGTAGAAAGCTGGGTGCCTGGTGAATCATTGCAGTCCCAGAATGAATTTGAGAATCTGGTGCAGTTCCAGTGCTGGTACTGCAGTCACCTGATTGTCAGTCTCAGTTCTGGGCCCACATCAGGGCCGGTTTGAAACTCTGGTGGGATCTCAAGGCTGGAACCAGCAATCAGCTGATTGTCAGTCTCAGCCCCTGAACCACACTGGAACCAGTTTGAGACTCCAGCGCAGTCCTTGGGGCTGAGACCTACAATCAGCTGATTGTTGGTCCCAGCCCTGGGGCCTCACTGAACCCACCCTTAGAGCCCTGCCATGCAGTTAGCATCGGGCTGCATGACTTAGCATCGGGCTGCATGGCAGGGACCCATCCACAGTTTAAGATGTGATGGAAACCAGCCACCAAGTTATTAGGCATATTTTGTGGAATAATTTTCTGGCCTGTTTCCCATTTTATCATGCCATTAAGTGCCTGAACATGTGGCCAAGTTGCTATTTAAGACGCGATTAACTGGTTAATTGCATCTGAACAACATCTTAAATGTTATATGTGCCAGGGGTCTGAGACTGTTAAGGGTAAAGAGACTGGGATTAACAACTGGGATTAACAACTGGGAGAGAGTAAAAGGCAAGATTAAGACAGAGCCAGGTTACAGGGGAAACACAGCAGTCAAGGTCTCTGGTCCAATGAAGCACATTTCCCTCCAGAATTTTGAATGAAACCCAATGTAGGTGAATTGTGAAACCTTCTAGCAAAGTATGCATCTTGTCCATCCTCCTCCCCCTGCCTTTACTTGCAAGTGACTGGTACACACAGATGACAATAATCTAATATTGTTACCAATTATTCCATTAACTCAAGTAGCAGTGACCTGTGCTATTGTTTCCTACTCTGCTAATGACTCATGGGGGCCAGTTGGATTCCATATGATGGAATTTTTTTTCCCAAATAACTAGGGCCCCCTAAACATGCAACTACAGGCAGTCCGCAATTTAAGAAGTTTCGAATTACAACGAATGTCACTTACAACATTTATAAATTGACACCCTGTTTCGACTACCTGACGTTAATTTTGATTTTATGATGCTTGATCTGATTCCATGCCATGCCAGCAAACAAGTTCGTTGCATCACCCATCTCCCTGGAGACCATCTGTCTAAACTTCCTTGGACACTTTCTTTAAGAAAGCAGACAAGACTCCAGAAAAACCTGCAGCCAAGACTCCTGAGAAGACTCTAGCTAAGAGCCTTTCAAAAAGTCCAGCAAAGTCATGTAAAAAAAGTCCTTCCAAATCAATATCATTGCTATTTATAATATAAATACATTAATGTAGCTATATTACTCACCTGTAATTGATTGAGTACAAATAACCAATTCTGGATTATTTTTTATGAAAATAGGGTATTGGGCCTTGATTCAGGAACCAATCCCCCATTTCTAACTTTGTTCCTATGGGAAAATCAGTTCCGAGTTATGACATTTCAACTTAAGATGAACCAATTGTGTCGTAAGTCTGAGGACTGCCTGTATTTTAAAAGACCTTTTAGTTTGCACAGTGTGAAGTTGTAAAGTTTCCAAATGGCTTCTCTGCCAGGTAGGAATATTTGGGGGGGAAAGACACTTAGGGTGTCTTACACCATTTTTCCTGATTCTGCAGATACTACTGATCTGGGAGAGATTGGATTCCCACTCTGGAGGCAAATGTGTCTATGTGGATAGCTGTGGGCATGCTCCTTTGCTTCTAAATTAACATTTCTTGTCCAGTAATACCTAGTGTCATAACTCAAAGGTATGATTTTGTGTGTGCTTCAGCACTAGAATTATTCCCGCCAAATTACAGCTTCGTTGCACAGTGGAGTTTTCTGCTGCAGAGGAGAACCCCGGTGCAAGGAAGAGTTTCCCGCCAATTTGGCGCTTCCTTTGCAGAGTGCATTGCTCAAGTTGCAAGAGAAATGCACGGTGCAAAGGAGTTCCCGCCACCCGCATGCAAATTGGTTCCCCGCTATTGGCTAGTTCTAAATTATTCCCACATGGCGGCTAACGATTGGCCTGTTAGCCGTATAAGAGGCTTGAGCGGTTTCCGCCCAAGCCGAAGAGGACTCCACATCCATCTCGCGGGGACTCTGGGGACACGGCCGGGGAATAGAGACCCTGTGTGAGATTCAGAGGAGTTTGGCGACCTGATCCATCGCCCACCTCTTCCCGTCTTCGAGCGATAATTCTTTATAAGACGTAACTACGAAGTTTCTGTTTCGGTGGCGCGCTTGTCCAGGGCATCCGGAGCTCTGTTTCCGTGGAGCCTAGCAAACTCCACGTGATCGTTTGTGTTGTTTTTGTCTGTAACTGCAACTCAAGCAAGTTTTCCAGCCTGCACCGCAACCATCTCCGGTGTAAGTAAACAATCTTTAAATCTACCGCTACAAGTCTGTGCCTAATTCTAGCTTGACGCGCGCCCTCTCCGACCCCGCGTGCCCGGGCTGCTGGCCACAGCCCGCGCAGAGCACAAAAAAGGGCCCGGCCCGCACACCTAGGAGCTACAGTTGAGCAGGAGACAGAATTGTGGCCAATTGTGTACCACAGTAGACAGGCAATTAGTAAGAAGCAGTCACCAATTAGAGTTTATAGTCCAACTTGATAGAACAGATGAAGGGTGAGAGGAGGTACAAAGGCTCGGAAAAATTAAGAGATTTGCCCCCAGATGTCACAGGAATTTAGTGACTTAACCAGGGATAGAACTCAGGTTTCCTGAGTCCTGTTCCAGTGTCCTATCCATATTTTTTCTGAGAGATGCTGTTGCTGACAGAGGAATAATGTTATTGTGCAGTAGCAATTGCAGAAAAAAAAGTCAGAAGGAAGATAGGAAAACTGTATTCTCACAGGGACCTCAATGGAGTTGGCAGGTGCTGACACATCAGAAATCAGTGGATATCTTGTTATACCAGGGGTACCTTACAGATTTCCTACTTCAGAAATGGTTTTTCAGAGTCCCTAACTGTCAGCTGCCTTATTCCAGATATATTATATTGGAGTCTCTTCTCACTTCTGGGTTTGGAGACAAAGGTCTAATCCACTTCCTATAGCCTATATATTGCTGCTAACTAGCTGGAATGCTAGTATAAAATAGCCATTTGCATGTTAAAGTCATTGTGAGTGGACTGTGTGCCTAGCAGATTAGAGTACATTTCACTCTGATAATAGTTAAGTTAAAAATAAACTCTGGGGTAAAAATGTGCTTGTTAGTGTTATTTAAACCATTTAAGTTTTTAATATGAAATATCTCCTAAGGCAGTTCGGTGTTAGGGTGGCATCAACACTGATTGTGGTTTTAATTCTTATGGACCAGGCTAGCTCAAGATGTAATACCTAAATATAACCCATGTATTTTATTTCACTTAACCAAGCAGTATGTAGAGCAGGCTGTTGTCTTGGTTTAGCTTCATACCAAGTGGTGACTTGTGAGATGTAAGAAAAAAATGAAACAAAGAAAAAACCAGGACAGGTTCAGACAACAGTGCTTTTTATAGCTTATTCCATTTTGTGCCCAAGTCATTGTGTAGGTTCTGTTACTTAAGATCCTGACAACATGGGAATGTTCTTATGTTTTAGGTGTGAATGTAAATCAAATTTAAACAAGTACAGATCCATGTGGACACTTTTAGTTTAGTTTTAAAGTGATTTTTTGTTCAACTAAAGTTGACTGGGAACAAGCTAAACTGAAATAAACCATTCCTCCGTTGAAGTTAGTGTTTGTTTGGGGATGTGCATTAGCTTCAGTTTGTATTTAGACAGTGCCTAAGAAAGGAAGAGAGACAAAGAATGATTTTATGGTTGAAATAAAGAGCTGGAAACCAGAAGATATCTAGATCTTATTTGCTGCAAACATGAAGTATGACTCTGGGCAAATGGAATAACCTGTATACTTGTGTCTCCCTATCTCACATAATTGGGATAAATGCTCCTCACAGTACTTCCTATTGTAAGGCTTATTGTAAAGTCCCCTAACATCATTGTGATCTGTGCCACAGACATGTCAATATGTGAACAAATACAAAATGTTGTTTACAGTGGCAGTTCCTTGACATTTCATTTATTTACTTGCAGCTGTCTTGAGAGCATGTGCTGATGGAGGTGCTAATCGTTTGTATCAGATCACAGAAGGAAATCAGGACAGGTATGATGATGATAATTTTATACCATACCTTTAATTTCAGGAGAATTAATTGATGGGCTGATTGGTACTGTAATCTGTCTTTTTTTTTACCGGTATACGTGTGTGTATGTATATAATATTTAAATTTCATTAACGCGCCATGAATTTTAATTTAGAATGCAAAGAAACAGCTTTGTGTTCAGGAAAGGGGGTCCCCTGCCCCCCCCCCCAATAGTATTTTAATAGACTAGTGATAACACAGTTGAAATTAATAAATACTAAACACCTTAAAATACATCATTGGCTGTTCTGGAGGTGACATTTACACCACTATGAAGGAGAGACCAATATCATTTACTTTTCTGTAATTACTTATGAGTTATGAGTTCTTTCCTCTCGAGGCATGATTGATACATCCCCTTAAAAAGTCATTATGTTCTTTTGCTATCTTCTGCTCCAGTCTTTAAGTGGTGAAACACAGCTGACAAGCTTATGATATGAGGGGAAAATGCAATGAAGGGGTTACAGTCAAGGGAGACTGTATTTGAGCAAATGATTTGTTTTTCCTTGATAACCCCTGTAAGTGATATACTGTGTTCTTATATGCAATACAGGTAAGGAATCACTAGTGTCATCTGCATGCCATCTCATTTAATTAATGAAGATCAATATAGGGGTTATGTAAATGTGTTTTTGTAGAAGTGGTAATACATAGCAAAATATCTTTTGCCCATTGTATTTAATGATTTATTAAATCTGTGTTCTAGTATAACTTTCAGATGCATGAATCAACCTTTTTCATTTGTAATAATAGCTGCTTGACATATTTTTCTTCATACTTCATTCATTCAGCAGAATTGAGTCTATGATACAGTAAAGCCCAGCCCCAGGAGGTATGTAGTAGAGGAAATCCTGTAGTAACTCAAGGAGGATTGGATGTTGCTTCCTCTTCCTTCTTCCTGGCAAATCACTCACAGAAACCTAAACTCTGTAAGAAACTGTGTTGCTCTCCCTTCCAAGTCAGTTCAAGGGTCACTGCATCCAGAATAGGAAAAAAAGGAGCTGAGATGCGAATGTAAGCCTAAGAGCCTCCCTAGACATTGATTGCTATTTCAAATCTGTGTTTTGTGAAGGAAGTTGTAAAGGAAATTACATCAAAATACCATTGGATTTGAAGTGAAGTCATGAAAAACACAATTCAATGTAGAGTTTTAAACATTTAACAAAATATGTTTTTTCTTTTAAAGTATATTAGAATTGATCAAGAACCTTTTGGTACTATGCTCAAACCCCAGGCCACGGGCCAGACCCAGCCCACGGAGTTGTCATCTGGCCTAGGAATGTGGGAATTTGGCAGTGCGGGAGCAGCAGCAGCAGTAATTACCTCTCCCCTACTGCCAGATTTCCAGACCTACGGGGAGCCCAGCAGGCCAGATAATGTGACCCTGCATGCTAGATCAGGCATGTAGGGCTGGGCCAAGGCGATGCACAAGACCCAATCCAGGCATGTGACCCAATCCTGGCAAACAGGGTCAGGGCAAGCAGAGTGTGAGGCCTGGAGCTGGGGCAGCATGAGGCCCAATGCCATGCACCAACCTTGTAAGGCATCTGAACCATGGACTGGTCCCATAGCACTCATTGAGCTTCTGGGGCCCAAAGGCTAAGCACTAGTGTTTTGGTATATTTTGATTGATTTGGTCAAAGCTTCACAAATGTTTAAGTATAATTGAAGCCAGTCAGGTAGTAAAACTAGATCTAAAGACAGTAAAAAAGAGAAAGGCCTAACTAGCTGGTAGATTGAGGAACTGTGTGCTGCCTACTTGTGTTTAACCGAGGGATGTAGTTGGGGGAAATCGCAGCTAAACTTGTCCTTGCCTATATGGGGCACATAGTGCCATGAATTGCCAGGAACTGATGAATGCAAAAGTTGAGATGGGCACCAGCCACTATCTTGTCATGCAAGAATCAGAATGCCTCCATGCTTGTTGTTTTTTCTTTTCCCTTGTCTCTTCTTACAGAGACAGACATAGTCTGGCCTTTAATACAACTTGAAACCTGTTTGACTCCATTCAGGCAGTTTCCTTTGATCAAAATGTTTTGCAGAGAGAGACGAAAGATCTGTGAAATATAGGCAATGATGTTTAGCACTCTCATCTTACTTTTTTCAATAAACCATTCATCTCTCTACCACTCACCTTTCTTTCAGTTAATATAAATGTAAGTCAGAATAAATAGCCAATTATACCTTGACTGAATAGTTTTATCCAGTCTTCACACACTTGGCCCTTGGAGTAGGTTTGTTTGAGGGGAAGTATCTATATTATGCCATCAAAGTCATATTGAAAAGTAATTCCTGTAGGATTTGGTATTTATCTTTAAAGAAACTAATTCTGTTGGAAAGAATATTAATTTACTTTTCTAAAGTAATATTTCTCTAAATTCACTGCCCAGAATTATTAAAGAGCTGTCTGCTCAGAGACTACTGACATGTTAATTATTTTTTTAATGCATAGTTCTCTATTTTAAAATTCTATTTCATTAATTCAGAGCCTTCGTAGCTAATTGTAGTGAATCACCACTGAAAGGCCCGAGTGGATTAATTTTAGACTAATTGCTGTATTTAAGGGATACTAATAAATTTGAGATTTTAGGTCTGATTCTTATTTATACAAATGTTACCAAACACTGCCTTGGCAGTGTAAGGGAGCTGTAGGTGACAGCCAAATACAACAAGGTAACAAAAACTTGGGATACATGGGAATCAGGGGCCTTTATGTTTAGCCATTTAGTAAAGTACAGGCTGTGCCTCATGAGGAGGGTGTTTTCTGGAAATGAAGTAATTGCAGACTTTTACACAGGGTGCATCTCACCTATGTCCTTTCTCACCTCATAGCAACTCCTGCTGCAGATTGTATTCAGAGAGTCAAGGATTGAGTCTAGGGTCAGCCTGCTCCTTGCCCCTTTGCCGCTTGCCTGCTTACAAGTTGATTGATCACGTGTTAACTTCCTCAAAGTGCATTTTCTCTCCCACTTTCCCTTCACATACAAAGCTTATGCCTCAATTTTCAATCCAGGTAAACCCTATGGTCACAAGGGAGCTCATGTCCCTGTATTCCAGAGAAATGGTGTCAAACTCATAAGGTCTAGTGGACTGGATGATGGGTGCAGAGCCAGACCACAGGATGGATTGGGCCCACAAACCAGTTACACATGCTAGATTCAGTGCATAAAGCTGATCCAGTGCAGGCACCACGACCACCTGGACCGGCCCTGTGTGCTGTGTGCTGCACATGTGCCAGAACCAGCACTGTGCACTTTATGTAGCATGCACTGTAACTGGCCCTGTGCACCACCATGTGGAGGTCTAGTCCAAAACCCACAGACAGCACAGCAGGCCAAGTGATAAGGCTCTGTGGGCTGGATTCAGCCCACGGGCTATGTGACAGGGGAGTAGTGGGGTGCTACTATGCTGAGTCACCCACCTCACTGTGCCTGGCCCAAAAACACGCTTTGGGAGTGTCCCATGAGGCACCTGCATCCAACCGCCCCCCTTCCTGGAGACCTCCTACAATGCTGCCATCACCCAGGCACTGGTCTCTGTTAGGGCTCTGTGCAGCCCAACCCAGCCAGCCTTGGGGGTGCTTTGCCCACTGGAAGTGTTTCTGAGTTCTCCTTACAGCCTGGAGCCTCCCAACATTACTCTCAGGTAGGACTGAATTAATTAATAAACAGCTGAGCACTGCTAGGAGTGAAACACATCTCTGACCCCTCTCCCCATAGGCATTCACAGCTAGGCACGCTGGGCCAAATAGCCCTTTATTGATCAGAGAGAGAGAGAGAGAATGGGGGTGGGTAGAGAACAAAGGAAGTTTAAGAGAATAGCAAATCACCTTGAGCAAAACAGAATAAATAGAGCCTTTCCCATGTAGGCTTGTGGCCCTTTTAACATGCGGCTAAAACTTAGCTCTAATTTAGTAACCAGAATCCAGATTTCTACTCACAAAACTTCCAGAGAGCCTATCTCTTATGGAGGCACATCTTTCTGTGTTGTTGTTTCCCAAAATGACTGCCTGTCCCCTTCCCAAAATGCCTTCTGCAGGACAAAGGAAGAGCAAGCTTCCCCTTCCCTTAGGAAATTTTTTCAGCCTAGTCACCTAGATGACCAGGTAACTGAAACCAGGCAGTGTGAAAAAAACAGAAGGGGATGGGCTGTCTCAGTATAGAGGTGAGGCACACTGAGGAGGATTTCTTCACAGGCTACATCTTTGACACCCCCTGCTCCACAGTACTACATAGACTAGGTCATAATCTAGCCCCAACTCATTAGTTTAAACCAGTGGTTAGCAACCTCGTTAGATGCAAGGCACCCCTCGGAAAAAGCCAGCTCTTAGCGCTTATTGGTTTTGTGACTGTGGAAAAATAGTAGAGCAATTCTTCTGTTGTGGAGAACTCAAAGCCCATACATAACTGGTCAGAAATTTTTTAACACAGTGGATTTTTATTTGTAATCTAGGGTTGTCTTGTGAATCATATGCAAGTACCTTAACTGTGCTATTGAGTAACACCCTATGACACACTGAAAAGATCTCAAGGCATCCTGGTTGAGACTCACTGGCTTAAATATGTTGTATATGTGAATCTGGGCTAATTGATTTCTATTAGGGATTCACCAATAGAGGTTTTTGAACTGATACCAATGTGCAATTTTTAACAAGCCATATTGGCTGATACTGATCCGATATCTGATATGGAGCCCTGCAGCATGGATAGCAATGTCTGGCTGAATAATCTGTTGTAGGGGAAGGGGTGGGGGGAGGGAAGGGGTGTGGTGGAGGCAGATTGAGGCCCCTGTGGTGAGGGAGAGAGGGGGGCTGGAGCAGGGGCAGTGGCAGACGCTGCACAGCAGGGGTGAGGTGCAGGATGGAGCCGTGAAAAGCTCATTTGGGGGCCATGGGGGGGCAGTTCCCACTGTTGTGCGCACCCCGGGAGGGCATAGGGGCCGTGTGCCCCCAGATCTGCAC